ATCATATATTGACAATATAAAGAATATTTATGTAAGGCTCCTTATCAGATAACTACAAATAAAACTTTTTTCAAATTGTTGATAGTATATCTTGTTGTAGTTGTATGCAGAGTATCATTTCCTATTTGATCCATTTGAATTCCATTTTCAAAGTCGCGATCGAATCTATCCATAAAAAAAATCTCTTTGGTACATTTCTTATGTAACCGTGGATATTATATTGAATTTGAATCATATTTCGGATTAATCTATATTAAGTGACTGCCTCCATTTTGTTGATGCTAGCAAATCCCACTATTTTTAGTTTTGAATCTTCTAAATCATTCCCTTAAAATACAGGAATAATGTAAAAAGTGTTTCCTCTATCTATATAACTTAATCCTTATTAAATAAAGTTACATATAATTATTTGCGGAATTAACCTAAATAGCCCCCAATTACTTAAACTAAAAGTAGACAACAGATGTATAATATGTGTATAATTCATGTATAAAACGTGAATAATCGTGTATAATTAATATATAATTTATGTATACCGACTAAAAAAAGTAAACAGTGAATTCAGCTGGCTATTTGTGCAAAAATCTCTTATTATTTTAAGTAATCTAATTGCTTAAATAGTTTTATACGTTATGCTTGCTAAAGGAAATACCTTGACTGAGTATTATCTAATGTTGTTAACAGGACTTGGAGAAATTTATGTGCTCAAATTTAGCTAATTTTGAGCCTAGATACCAACTCAGAAGAACCAGCTCAGCAGCCTTCTGAGCCTCAATTTTAACACCAAAGGGCAAAGCCTTACTATTTTTGATTTTATAAATCATATTTCTTGTACTATCATCCCTCTCAATTGTAATTTGATCTGAGTTGGCCAGCTTTCAACTATTAGCCTAAGAGTTGATATAAGTTTTATTTGAGATTTTAAGACAAAATAGTATCGTAAATTAAAGGAATATATCTAAGGGGTCTTGTTTTCTTTCAGTTTCTTATCCTTACAATTAGAAAAAGAAATTACTACCAAAATGGAATCGAAGACAATAATAGAAAAAATGCTGTCTTGGACCAAAGGAGCTTCACTTGGACTACTTTTGATTTTATGAATCTTTACACTAATAGTCAGTCAGATTCATTGTGTACTTCTCTTAGACGGTATTAATATATATATACATTCACTAGCTGCTATTTGAGTTATTCTTCATTATTTTTTTCAGCCATATGACCGATAACCCAACCATGGAGAGGCTGCTATTTTTGCTCTCAAGCTATAATATTTGTCTTTTCTCTCTCCCACCACTCTATCTTTGTGGTTCTTTATTCTTTAATTTTTTTCCCTTTTGTGAGGGGTAGGGGTGTTCACAAAAATCCGAAAAATCGAACCAAATCGATCAGAAAAATCGATACTTTTTGGTTTGGTTTGGTTTTGGTTTTGAATTTTAAAAACCGATTAAATTTGGTTTGGTATTGGTTTTAATCAGAAAAAAACCGAAAAAAAACCCGAACCAAACCGACTATAGGAGTAGCTATTTCAAATTTATTATTACACCTATATATATGTATATTTTTATACAAAGTTTAAAAAATTTAATGGTAAATATTAATAGTTTGCACTTTTAGTATAATTCTTTACCTTTACATTCTAGTTTCATTGGTAGTTTTCTTTTGTTAAGTGTAAGAATCCAATTCATGTTAAAAATAATATATTTAAGAAAAAGCCGACAAAATCGACAAATAACCGAAAAATGTGATCGCCGAAATATGTGTTTGGTAGTGTATGGCTTATATTTAAGAAAAAACCGACAAATAACCGAAAAAACCGAAATAACCGACAAAACCCGACATAAACCGAATCGAGAAAAAACCGACTTAATCGGTTTGGTATGGTTCTAATATTTGAAAAAGCGACTTACTCGATTTGATTTCTTTTAAGGAAAAACCCGATCCAAACCGAACCATGAACACCCCTAGAGTGAGGGTGGTTTACAAAGTGAAGTTTTATGCATAGTTTGGGCTTCAAATGAAAAGGTAAAAACGATGGGCCAGCCCACTATTTTGATCCAAAGGCCTCCCATTGGGAAATAAGTAGTGAGTCCAAAATTTACTCCAAAATCCACTATCCTCCTCCTTGGGAAAAAATTAGAAATAGTCAGATTGACACTAGTAGTTGAAAAATAGTTATAGTTTCAAAAGCAATCAAGATTTAGCCATTTTTTCATGTAAGGATAAAAAATTGTATTAAAAATCCGAAAAAATTATAGCATAAAATGTTGGAGTTCGAATTTTTTACATATAAGATTCCAACATAATGTGCTGGAATTCCAATAAAATATGCTTAAAGTTTGTATGCAGGAGTCCCGCATATTATGCTGGAAGTTTCTGTGTGCTGGAGTTCCAGCACAATATGCTAGAAGTTAATATGCAGGGGTTCCATAATCCAGTATATTATGTCAGAACTTTCTGTGTTTCAGCAATATAGTGGTTATTTTGTCAATGAATGTACAAACACTGACTATTTTTCAATTATCAGTCCGAAAACTGGCTAGCTCGTACTATTTACCACACTTCACTATGTTTGCGTGAATCCAAATGTTTAATATTCTATCTATTTTCAAATACCCATATCTTCAAATTTTTGAATTTTCTATCTTCACTTTTTCTTGTCTTTCTTTCCAACCTTTTTTCTTCTTCTTTCTACCGTAGCATAATTTATCTAAAGGGAATGAATAATCTCTTTTTCACAGGTTAAAATGTTAAATGAAGTTGAGTTATAGGGGTGTAGTGTATGGACCAAGTTAGTTTAAAGAGTTATCCGTAATGATTTCAAGGCAACTGAGAGGGCATACATGCATCTCATCACGATTATCTATCCATACGTTCTCTTAAAATGGAAATAGATTGTGTTTATATATCTACGGATAGTACAAAGACTTTTTGATTACCAATTATATTAATCACGTTAACAACTCATATTTATTTACCTAGCAGATTATTTATCTTATTCTTCACGCTAAAAACTCATATTTATTTACCTAGCAACTTTAGGAGTATGACCAATTTTTATGTACTATATTTTTATTTTTATTTTGGTAATTAGACAATCTTTATTACCAAGTAAATATGTACAAGTATAACAGTAAACTAAGTTTGGACATGCAGCCCCAAACTCAGTACAATCCTTCTCTTCTAACAACTCCTAAGGATAGAAATTTAATTTTTGAAGTTCATTCCTTAAGCTAGCCTGCCCATTTCCTATACAATATATTTCCTGTATTATCTGTCTTATGATAGCTTCACTACTTCTCTTTTCCTGCTGAAAAATTCTTCTATTTCTTTCCATCCATATCTGGTATACAGCACTTGTAATACAATCCTGTAAAGCATGGTTTTCGAGCCTTTGCCTTTCATATGATCTGTTGTCCATTTGAGCTCCTCATTCCAGCCAGTTACCCTTCGTACCAGTCCTATCCATGCTAACAGCTTCCCCCATACTTCTGCTGAGAATCTACACATAAAGAACAGGTGCTGATGACTCTCCAGCTCTTGATCACATAGTGGACAATTTGAATTAACTTGTAATCCCCAGCTGCTCAATCTGTCTTTGGTATATAGCTTCTCCTGTACAGCAAGGTATAATATGAACTTCCACCTTGGACAACCGTTGTTATTGCATAATAGTCTGCTCCAATTTTCCTATGGGAAATCTCCTCTTAATTGATTGTACATTACCCTGATAGAGAATGATTTTGTCCCTAACACCTTCCCAATATCCAACCTTGCTTCATTTATATATTTCCCAGCATGTAGTATCTTCCTGATTATCCATAAAGCTTGTTTCACTTCTACTCGCCATGGAATCTTCCCCTTTATATAGTAAACATGCACCCACTTTATCCACAGTTTATCCTTCTTCATACAAATATTCCAAAGGTGTTTTAACAATGTTGCTCTATTCTATGTACTGAGATCAGTGATGTTTAGTCCTCCTTTGGATTTAGGCCTGCACATCTTCTCCCAAGCTACCAGAGCTTTCTTACTTGCATTGGTGTCACCAGTCCAGAGGAATCTTCTGCATATACCTTCAACCATCTGTATAATTTTCTTTGGTAGTGGAAAGATCTGTGACCAGAAATTTTGGATGGCAATTAACACACTCTTTATGAACTGTAGTCTTCCTGCATAGCTTAAGAATTTTACTGTCCATCGTTTGACTTTCCCCAGCATTATATCCAGTAGAGGTTGGCACTGGCTCACTGACAGTCTTTTTGAGCTCAGAGGAACTCCTAAGTATCTAAAAGGAAGTGCACCAATGGTAAAACCAGTAGCTTGAATAATGTCCTGTTGTACTGCTGTTGAAACTCCACCAAAATACATGCAACTTTTACTTTGGTTTGCAACAAGTCCAGAAGCTTTTGAAAAACTGTTGAAACATTCACATAATAGTTGTATAGACATCACATCACCTCTACAGATTAGCAGCAAATCATCAGCAAAACTGAGCTGGACAATGCTCAGTTTCTCACATCTTGGATGATAATTGAAATTAGGTTCCTCCTTCAACTGTTTCAGGATTCTAGTCAGGTACTCCATTGCTAATACAAACAATAGTGGTGACATTGGATCACCCTGCCTCACCCCCCCCCCCCTTTTGCTTCAAATGGCATAGTAGGACTACCATTAATAGAGATGGAGTAAGATATAGTTCTGAGACACTCCATAATCCATCCTATAAATATTTTGGGGAAACACAACCCAGTTAATACCTAGTCTAAAAACACCCATTCAATTGAGTCATACGTCTTTTGCATGTCAATCTTGATCATGCATCTAGGTGAGACCCCTTTCCTACCATAACCTTTTATTAGTTCATGACTTAGCAGTACATTATCTATCAATCCTCTTCCTGGAACAAAGGTTGTTTGACTCTCATCCACCAGTGTATTCATCACTTGCCTCAACCTACTCTCTGATTGAACTTGGGTTTTTTACTTTAGGTATAAGGGTGACTACTGTGTTATGATAGGCTTATACATTATCCCAGTAGTAAAAAACTCCAGTACTGCAGCAACAATATCATCTCCAGTAATATGCCATGCTTTTTCAAAGAAACATGCATTAAACCCATCACCCCCCCCCCCCAATGCCTTTATGTCATCTATACCTCTTAGTGCATCCATTACATCTTCCTTTGTGAAAGGAGTAATGAGCTGCAACTGCTTCCTTCTAGTTAGAACTGGTCCATTCCTTATCCAGCCGGGATGAATAGCTAGTATGCTGCCCTTTGCAGTTCCTAACAGATTTTTATAAAACCCAATCACTTCAGCTTCAATACTCTTCCCATCTGTCAACACATCCCCCTTACTATTAGTAAGATTTGTAATTTAATTTTGTGCTTTCCTTCCTTTCATGCTAGCAAAGAAACAGGCACTATTAGTATCTCCCAGCTTTAAACATTGCACTCTTGACTTTTGCTTGTAAATGGACTCCTCAATTTTATCCCACTTTTCTAGTTGTAGTAGTAGTTCCTTCTCCTCTTCAAACAGATTACTTGTTGGATTAGCAATCTTCATTCTGCCTTGTATATCATTCAGTTCCTTCCTTATGGTAGTTATCTTCCCTTTGACTTTCTTAAACTCCATATTATTTAATTATTTTGAAAGCAACAGTTATACGTTTCAGGTTCCTCCATACAGCTTCCATACCCCCATTCCTCATTGTCCAGTTGCTTTCCACAATCTCCCCAAAGTCAGGCTGATCAGCCATATAATTATTGAATTTAAAGGGCCTTTTCTTGTTATCACACCTTACCTCTACCTCAATTCCCAGTGGAGAATGGTCTGAGAAAAAAGAATTCAGTATTTGAACTTGACTAGGAGGCATATTAATCATCCAGCTGTCATTAACTATTGCTCTATCAATTCAGCTATACACATGACCATTTATCCATGTATATGTCTTTCCCACTGTAGGTAATTCTACCAAACTACAATCTTTTATAACTTCTTTAAAATTTCTTGTTTCATTATCCTGAACTTCACTTCCATGCATTCTGTCCTCAACCCCTAAAATAGAGTTAAAATCTCCCATCAGCAACCAAGGTCCCATGCATTGCCCTGTTAAGTTCCTAATTACCTCCCATAATGATTTCCTGTCTTGCACACTATGTAGTCCATAGATTGCTGAAAAGTAGAATTCCTTATTACTCTTCAGAATCTTCACACTGCCATGTATAATCTGAGAATGTCTCTCTAACACTGTATATTGCAACACATTTGGATTCCATATTACCCAGATTCTGCCTTTACGTGTATTTGACACATTATGACTCCATTCCCATCCTAATAGTACTTTCCCAATTATTTTAGCTGCTTTTGTATCTTTTACTCTATGCTCACATATTGCTATCATATCTACTTTATTATCCTTCATAAACACCTTTAACTCCTTGTGCTTAAACACTTCATTGAACCCCCTTACATTCCATGTGACTATCATGTTGAATTTAAAGTGTTTTGTCTCATCCTCTCCACCTCCACCCCTCTACTTGTACTACATTCAGCTATTCCTCTTGTTATTTGTTCTTGTCCTGTTTCCACTAGGCTATTGAAACCATTTAGAAATTGAATGCATTGCCCAGCTTCCTGTGTTCTTTGCGCTTTTGCTGCAGATTTGCTTTTAACTTGTTGCCAGTCATCTCCACTTCCTTCTCTTTTATCATTGTTCACTTGTTGCTTATCAGTTTCCTTTTGTACCTCCTGCAGATGCTGGTTTTGTAATCCAGCTTTTTTATTGATAGGCCTCCACTCTGTTCTCTGCTTTGCCACTGTCTTCTGTTGTTGTTGTCCTGTTTTCATCTTACCCCCTCCTGTGTTGGTCTGCTTTTGTTGACAATTGTGGCCTATTTGTATACATTTTGAACAATATGTAGGTTTCCAGTCATACCATATCTCTTGTGCCATAATTCTACCCTTTGGATCTTTTATTTTAATAACATTTGGTAACTCCTTAGTAACATCAACTTCTATCAATATCCTTGCATATGAAATTCTCTCAGTATTTGAAGTACAAGCATCAGTATATATTGGTTGGCCGAAACCACTACCAATTTCGCTCGATGCACTTGCACTCCAACAACATAGAGGTAAGTTAGGTAGCTTGATCCAAATGGGAATTGTCTTCAAGTCCTCAGCACCAAAGTCGAATTCAGCAGTCCAAGCCTTCATAATAACTGGTCTATTGTTAAGCATATGTGGCCCTGAATACATCATCATGTCCCTTTCCTCCAAACATGAGAAATTAATCACAAAATAACCAGCATTATGACAATATATTTTTGGTTTCATTGAGAAATCCCCTTGTCCTGCTATAAATCTCTCCATAGCCCCAATCGAAGGTGATCCCCCTATGACATATACTATTGCTGCATATTTCCACTTGTGTACTTCACTATCAATATCCTCTTGTACCAGTTCTACAATCACCTCACCCTCAACAATAGTAGGCAGTATGAACTTCAGATCCATACCTCTTTTTGCTGGCTTGGAACAGACTTCAATTTCAGATCTACATCTTGCATCTGTTGTTGTGCTGGTCCTTCCGAGCTTGATACCTGCTACATGTTAGCGGCGTTGTCCATGTTCCTGTTGATGCTTTGCTTCCTCCACTTCGAGCTAGTAGGGTTGGCCAGATCTCCAAATTCGGTGTTGCATGGTCCTTTCCTTTGTGTATTGATGTTTCCTCACTCAATTTCCTTTCAATTGTGATGTTCACCTCTTTGACTCCTGCTTTGTTCAATGTAACAGTATCATCACCTCCAATTGTTAGAGGTTTTGGTGTAGCTAATCTCACCGTTTCTAGAGTCCTTTCTTCCTTTGAGCTGTTGTCTTCCTCAATCAGTAGCTTAGTAGTCTTCGATGGCCGTCCTCGTGCTCTCCCCATTCCCGTGAGCGCATGTTAGCAATTTACGCTAAAATGCGCCGAGAGAGAAAGAGAAGAGAGAAGGTTTATAAATCTTTTTATGTACTATAGAATTGACTTTTAAATAACGTGATAGTGTAAGAAAATTATTTCTGTTATTAATGTATAAAAATTAAATTTATGTACAAAAGAGCTTTAACCCTTTAGAGTTCGGGATTGGGGTCATCCCGATGATTAACCCTTTTGAGTTCTCTTAGAGGGACATAAATTTTTTTTTCTTTTTTCCAAAATAATTTTACTTTTTTCGAAATCAACGTTTTGTTCATACAATTTTCTATTTTCACTTGAAGATGCATTTTGAAAATTTTTGAAAATTTGAAAAACTCCAAAAAGCTGTTTTTCAAAATTTTCACTCAAATCACTTACAAAACTTCAGTAACAGCCCAAATTGAAATTTATGTCCAAACACAACTGTAAATTTCAAATACCATTTTCACTTGAAAAAAATTTTCACCATATTTTGAAATTTTACAATTCTTATGTCCAAACGCCTACTTAATATATCAAATTAAATACCCTTCTAATAAATCACTTTGCAGTTGTCAGTTGATTTTATTAAGAATTTTCTCAGAAATAGATATTATACTAGTATCTTTTATGCATGTTGAAAGTCTGTTACAAATGTTTTTCCTTGCAATCATTTGAGTGCTACAACTTTTGTAAGGTATTAACTAGGTCTCCAATCTCGCTTCATTTTTAAGCACAGCTAATCATTTTGATGTCATATATTAGAACGTGAATTAGTAAACTTGTCATTATTTCTATCTCCACTTGTAAGTTATATATTATAGTAAGTATCAAGGTACACCTACTCACAAGGGCGGATGTAGTGTAATAGTGACGGGTTTAATTGAACTCATAACTTTCGACGTATGTATAAAAAATTATTAAAATTATAAAAACAATAGATATAAACCCATAACTTTAAAAATATAATGAATTCAATGTTAAAAATCTAAAAAATGAAACTCATAAAATTAAAATCCTCGATTCGCCTCTAGCTACTCAAACTTGTACTTTGGAAGATAAACTTCAGAAGATATCAATAATAATTTAATATCCTCTTTCTTATAATCTTAATCATACATATATAACATACAGTAGTACAGTAGTATTTATTAACGTAGTCTGAGTCAAAATATTATCTTAGTGGATACACAAATCTTTACCTATCTTCAACTAACCCATATAAAATGGAAAAGGATTAAAAATGTCCCTAAACTATTGAAAATGTTTAAAAATATCCTTCATCCATCTATTGGGTTAAAAATATCCTTCCAACTACCTTTTTGATTCACTTATGTCCTTTGACCATTAGGTCAATGGTGAATTAAAAATAATAATTATTTAAATTCCACGTGACAACTTCTTATTGGTTGAAATTAAAGCATCTAACCTATTAGACCCACCCATATCTACCTGTTTTTCGGACTAACCCGCCCTTGCACACTTGTTAGAGCTATTTATTATCTCAAGGAGTAAAAGGTGAACAGGAGAGTGCTTGTGCTGTTGAAACGTTGGTGGTGAGTGTGTCAAAACATCACCATGGCTTCGCTGTTACAAAGAAAGTGATAAATCTGATCATTCATGGTGATCGAGAAAATCATGCATTCATAGTGACAAGTGCAAAAACCACAACATTTGAGCCGAACATATATAAATATATTGTGATGTTCTTTAAATTTATCATTTTGCAATTTGTCTTGCTATTCACCCATTCCACGTACTCTCTCTTACACTCATCTAACATGGCAGAATTTGGCAAGTAAGCTACTCAGCAACATGAGAATGATGGGTGCGCTGAAAGTCGCAGTTGCAGTTTCAGAGTCTAAAGGAGTTGATAATTTTCACAAAATGGAACGATGATATGTTCACTGATAAAAGAATACATGTCGAACATTTTCTACTAAACAAAGTGGAGAGTCTGCAACGAGAAATGCAAAGTTCAACCATGTATCTGTGAAGAACTTACCAAAGATAACCAGTAAGGAGGAATTGAAGAAGTGGGGCGTCTTCTTTTTTTAGTTGAACTTGTTATTCGAGTCGGGTTAGTGTTTGGGGCGGGTTAGTCCGAAAAGCGGGTAGATATGGTTGCATTTTTCTAATAGATTAGATATTTTAATTTCGACCAATAAGAAATTGCCATGTCACACCCCAACCTTGGGGAGCGCGACCGGCGCTCAACCGAGTGGACCCCGTCGAGCAAGCCTGTTAGACGACACTATCTACCCAACTAGCTTATGATCAAGAGAAGGCGCGTTTCCATTAGTTAAACAGTAGAAGGATCATATATATGAACATTACTAATTCATTTCATTTTGCTACGTCATTGTTAAGTTCCAAAATACATACACTTTACAATTTAGTGGAACAAGAGTCCAAAACACAACATAATCCGTCTGACCTTTCTAGCACCCATACACAACCCACATAATGTCTACGGAGCCTCTAAAGATACAAAAGAAAGTTATGATAATGCCGGCAATAAGGCCCCGGCTATACCTTAAAACTTGGTAAAAATATGAACAAAAGATACAATACACGACCCCGGGATGAAATGGGGCTCACCAAGCCTGCTAGGAAGATGATGATGATGTACCACTAGCTGCGATCAACACTGTCTGCTATGGAACCACCTACATCCATTTAAAGATGTAGCGTC